TCATACGTATTAAAAGCATGAATCAAAGCATTTATCTATTAATAAACTAAAATAAATCCTTAATAGGTAAATAAAAGTTTGATCTCATTTCTCCCTTACACTATGTAATTCCCTCTTCAGAATGGGGTCCTCTCCTGGTTGAGAACCTCTGTATTAGCAAGAAAAGGGAATTTTCAATTTTGGCAGCTCTACTCGGAAGCTTTGTTATCATAATTCCGAGAGAAAACAAAACTGTAAATTCAAACCAAAATCTCGCTAGGAAGGATGTTTAATTTGACAGTGCTGAAAATTCTTAGTATTAACAGTAATGGTTTCTAAGAGCATTTCTAAATTTTTACCTGACTTAAAGCAATTAAAAAGAAAAAAAAAAAAAAAAAAAAAAAAAAAGAAATTAAGATAAAATGCAGCGAAAAATTTCAAAATTCGACCCCGAGCCTTTTTTGAATATTAAGTTTAATTAATATTTATGTATTTGAAACAAATCCTAAATCTCATACTGATTTTTGATGTAAATATATGCCATAAAAACAGACAAAATGCATTTACTTCTCAGTTATTCGCAAATAATGTTATACTTAACATTTTGTCTACTTCTTGTTAGTTCATAATATAAATAAGAGGGTTAAGCTTCTCTTTAAAGACATTTCAAAACAGAGATGGCAAAGCGAGCTGAAATGTAATCGATTTTTTTTTTGACAAAATAAAACAAGTATATAAATTATTTTAAAAAACAAATAGTTATTGGATTGGATTATTCAATTATGGCAAAGCACACGAGAGCTATCTGCCTAAAGGCAGGGATGCCTTCGTGGAAGACTTTCTAAGGAAGACTGGCTTGTATACACGTTACACATGGGGAAAACCAAGAAAACACCCATGCACCCAGCCCTTTCGCGGGATTCGAACCGAACTACCGGTCTTCAGCGTCTTTACCGCTCGGCCGCTGGTGGGCCCAAATAGTTATTGGAATCAAGCACAATGAACTCTAGAGAACAGTGGTTATCCAAATCTATCCGCACTCTTTCAAACTTGCTTAGACAGTTCTGGATGTTGAGAAAAATCTAAAAATAAGGTATGGATGTTGTTCTGTCTCACCATTAGAATGCGTGACGACTTCACGATTTTTATTTTTTTTCATTGCCTTGTTTTGGTAGCATTAGCCGAAGTAGAACGATTGCACAGTTCTTTACTTCATTGCTCTTGCATTAGCAGTAAGCCTTCAGTTTATGATACCTTCAGAATACATTAATTACTTCGTTTTCGCATATTGTTACATTTATTATCGATGAGTAAAACTCCATGACTGCTTTATTTTTCTTACTTTGTTAGTATTCCAGTTGAAACTATACATCTTCATTTTATTAATTTAAGTTCTTATCACTTCCGTACAAATGAACATCAGCAATGACTATATTCTACCGCCATGTGTTGTGATACTTCTTTAACAATTTGAAATAAACTCCAGTGATGGAACACAGCAATAACTTTTATTTTGCACTCAAAGACATACAAACAAAAGAAAAAGTATAAAAACTTATTAAAAATAATTACATGCTTCGTGTTAGAAAATGCATGCGACTCTCGAGCCTGCTTTTCAATATTGCCAGTAATCTTGTAGGGTTTATATTTATTTTAACAAACATTTATTTTAAGTTTAAGCTATCTTTCCTGTCAAGCCTTTACTTTCCCCTAGAATTGCCAATGCTAGAGTATGTAAATTGTAGTAGAACGCGCAGTATATTCAAATTTTAGCAGAAGTAAGTTGAGTTTAAATAGAAGGAAAACGAGATTGTAAGTGTGCTTCTTGAATCGTTAACGTGAAGCTGCTCGGTAGAAATTTAAGAACCGCGCGGTTCGGCCTGTGTGCCTATCTCGGCAGTTTGCTGAATATTTCAACTGCTTAATCAGTAAGCTCGCTGAATCTCAGTTGTATTTTAGAACGCGGTTAAGTTAGTTACGATTTCAGAGCCTCGTAGGTAGTGATCTAGTTGTTTATTCATTCTGTCATTAATTTTAGTTTCAACATTTCTGTTTTGTTAAACCGCCCGGGTCCGGCGTATTTTTGTGAGCGTCAAGTGAACGCAGCTGTTTATTTCTAAAGTGGAATGAAAAGGGCTCGAAACCCTTCTTACGTGTTTGTGTAAATTTACAGTTCATAGCAGTCACTGCCACGGTTGCTGACAAGTTGGGGCCACACAACACTACAACCTGTACATTATTTATTATTCATCTATTTCAAATGCACGAAAGATTAATAACGATATTAAAGCTGTTACAGCGTATACAGTCGTGGTGAAAAAAATAATTTCGATCGCTTCGCTTCTAATATTCTATAATTTAGTTTTCAGAATTTTAAGACTTTGTGAAATTACTAAACTTGTACTAACCTATCCTACACTCTGTTCACCGTTCTTATTAAGGACTTGTTTAATTTTTGCAGTATTTGGCCTAAAAGAAAATAGTTGTTTGATAATGTGTTATTCCTATTACCGGTATCTAAACTTAAAATAACTGAACTTTCAATTAACTAGGTAACTAGGCTTGCTTTTCTAGGTAAGATCATCTAGACGATACATGACCTTTCTTAAATCATCTGTAACAACGTCGAAAGTTTTTTAACATCGCTCTTTGTTGCTCATTTGTTTTCTCACATTTTCCTACATCACGTGTATTTTGATTACAATAGAAACTAATATGGCTTAGTCACTGTGGCTAAAGCCGAAGCAGTAGGAACGCTTGGCCCTTTTAAGAAATTATTTTTATTCTGCTTAACACCGTAATTTGTGTCTCTTTTCTTTGAGTTTATTATTAAATTAGGAGCTTCACGACTCTCAACTTCCAATCTAATGAATTCGAAAAGTTCTGTTAGTCTATATTGCTGTTTAGAGTTTCTTTTTCTATTAAACTCCAGATTCATATCTTCTGGTAAAAGCTTTAAAATAACAGGTCCTTAAGGGTCCCATAAGCTTCAGACACAATACATAATGAATTTAAACTTCTTATATTGATTTTACAGGAATCGTATAGTGTTCTTAGTGCTTTCACATTGGACGAACTTCTAACCGGTTCAAAATTCAAAAGTTTATTCATGTGCAAAAATATAACCAAATCTGTTCGTCCAGATCTTTCTTTAATCACTTGCGCTAAAAAGACGTGCCATGCACATCGAGATGCTTTTGTCTCAAACCGCGAGCGACGTGAATACCACGTCGATAGGCATTTATCGCAAAAATGAAAATAACGTGTGCACACGGTCGCCTAACAACGAGATTGTTTATTTCTCGAGTTACAGCTCTGGATTGCACTCGCAGACGCGGAGCAGCGTAAATGAGACACTTTACCGCTTGTTATATTGTAGCGCACTGCACCGCAACCGTGAAGTTTAGTCGTAGCGCAAGTGGTTAATTAAACTTATAGAAGTGTCATAATTTTCATTAGATAGTGCAAACCCAGATACAGCACTTAAAGTAGGTCCTGCAAGTAAGGATTTAAGATAAGTAAACTTCTCGACCTCCATAATATTTAGGATTTGAAATTTTAGGTAACCGAATGTTAGTTTTTGTTTTCGACTTTGCGGCAACAGTATGTTACCAGCGATTCATTTTTCAATGTTCACTATCTGAGATTTAAATTAAGTTTCCTTTTAACCCCCTAAAAATACATAAACTCATTTTTTTTCAATCATACTCTAACACGTATTACATGCTTTCTCTGATTTTTCGGCTCATCCCCTTTAAACAATCCATATATTTTTATTAATTTCTTTCAACGCAGACTGTTTAGAAGTAAGTAAAACACATTTTCTTCTACCATATTCTTATCCTAAATTCTTTTTTAATTTCAGGTTCTAAAATATTTAATATTTAATATTTTAGAAATAGCTCGTCTCATAATTTTCCTAGCAGCTTTAAATTTAACAATATCGTCTGCCATAATAACAACAAAAATAATTTTATTCGCTGACCTGATGCAGTCTTCAAATGGTTTAATCCTAATTTATTTAGTAACTCACTTTCCAAGAGAAAAGCATTCACAAGTATTTTTAACGTTTATACTGCCACGTTCAGTGCAAAGGAATAATTTTTCAATAACACGAAAAAACACTGCATTCATAAATCAAAAAACTGTTCATGCGCAACAGTTGAACGCCAAAACTGTAAAATAATATAATAACCGTCAAGATTTCATGTTATCCTGGTTCAAGAAACATTAATTCAAATCATACATAACAGCAAAGGTAAATGAACATTACGAAACATTACGCACAATTTACAAGCATATAAGAATAAAGAAACTGAGTTCACTGAGCTGAGTAACAGAGTGGATATATATATAATATATATTTATATACTTTTGATATACTTTTGATACCGATTTTATATACTTTTGATACCGATTAAAACCAAAATGGGAGGTGCCCATCTACATGTTATAGTAGTCCTATATACAAAATTTCAAAGTTCTGAGACTTCTTGTTTTTGAGTTATGCGAGATAGATACGTATGTACAGACGCTACGAAAAAAATCTCTTCTGAATTCATTTAAAATCAGTTTTATATTTCGTTTGGGGAAAAAGAGTCCTTTATTCTGTCCTTACGTACAGATGTCACGCAAAAACGTCGTTAAATTTCATTCATTAGTGGTCAAAATGTATATTTTCATTGAAATATGATACCCGAAATTTTTCGCCATTATATTATACTTCCTTTTTACTTTGTACAAGGAAGTTAAAAAATGCCTTGCAATTGTCATGCATAAAGTGTTGACTTATTTAAGAATGATTTTGGGACCATTTAATTAATATTTAAAATGTTACTATTTCTTATTCAAACGTCTCATCTGATGGCCCAGATATAATAAATCCATCATTCCAATTTCTATAATGGAAAGAATTTTGCAAAATTTACAAGGTTATTGCATTCCATTTCTGATTCTCTAAGAGTAAAAAAGGAACACGTATCATACATTATTTTAATTTGAAGTAACCCTTTTTATTGCAGGTGATGCCTCTGTTCTTCTTCACTGTTTTTCTGGAGCAGATAATACGCTTCTGCCAACAGAAACCTCTCTGTAGAATCAACGAATCTATGTCCAATGTCCTTCATGGATTTCTCATGGATCTGTCAAAGTAGGAAGTTTCTTCTTACGTAAAAATTGTTTTTCTTCATAGTGATTCAGTTGAGCACAAAAAATGTGTTCCTCAATGAATTACGCTATCTGATAAGAAACTTATGGATGTCATAATACACACACACACACACACACACATATATATATATATATATATATATATATATACACAGATTTATAAGAAAAGGAGAGGTTAAAACCGTGGCGGAGTAGGTCTCACGTTTTCGATTCGTTTTCGTGATTTCCTACTTTTTTACTTATATATATATATAAAAAAGTAAAAAAGTAAGTAAATCACAAAAACGGGAGACCTAGTCGGTCACGGTTATATATATAGATATCTCTATATATCTATCTATATATACTTTTATATATATATGTATATACACTCGAGCCATCTGTAACGAATTTCAGGGAATTGAAAAATTATCCTATATCCGATCTGATAATAAAAAAAATTGGATCATCTCACAACATATTGTAAAAATTGATTGATGAACTACATCAGAAAGCATGATACCATTGTCACATTTATCAAAAAGATGTTAATTTAAAAAAGGTTGTAAACATTATAGCAATTATTATTAGCTGAAATTACTAAATTTCCTTTTCATTGTTTTTCAGTTTCACCATATGTTAATAATTTTTCGCAAAAAGTTCTATACAATAAAAAACATTGTTTAGAGATGTTAGTACAGTTAAACATTTCCATCTAAAATGCCCATTTCAAGTAATGAATAATCATCAGCCTTGAACAGACTGTTCTCTGATTGTTAATCAAAGAAGTCTAACGGAATCATAGAACGTGTTCAAGATCTTTGTCTCAATGGATCAATAAGTTCTTTGGCTTCGTGCGTGACAGAGTATAATTTACTAAGCTATGCTAATTGTGTATCCCGGTTTCCTAACTACGGTCCTAGAGAAGCCTTTTTTTTTAGAATGAGGAGAAAGGTCGGAATAAAAGTAAAAGAACAATACCCTAAATATGTTTCCGTAGTTCAAACAAAGAATTCATCTTCTTTGATTCCAATAACCTAAACGGGATGGATTTAAGGGTTAAAACTTCACTTGAGAATTGTAGAAATACTGGAAGAAGTTCCAAAAATACAAAAACAGTTTCAGTCCAAGATACAAAATTCTTTGTATCCAATTTTTATACATATGGAAGTTCGCTACAGCCGCGTAAAATAATACGAGTGGAACAAAAATTTCGTTCACTATATCCGGAGTTCGTTATAAGCCTTGATTCTGTGCAGCGTGGTTTGACTGCATTGCGTATTTCCTTGTTTAAGAATTAAAATCTGAATTTAACTCATTTAAGTATTAAAATCTAAAATGCAAATGCATTTTAGATTTCTCCTTCTTAAAATTTTCAGTCTTAAAAATTCGATGAAGAGAAGAAACCGTTTGCTAAAAAATTAAGATTAACTCTGTGCCAATAAGTATCTTATTCTCATTCAAACAATTTACACTAGCGTCTAAGCGGATAAAATTATCGACTACCTAGAATTATTAGAATTTGTGTCAGCCAGGAAGGTGAAAAAAGTCAGCCATACATGCTTAGGACATCAAGGAAAGGAGACACTACATATAGAAACCAAGAAACTCGAGAAAAGGAGCACCACAAAATTTTCCCACTGCCATTTTTACTATGGAATGTATAGGTCAGCCAAACCTAGATCGAGAGAAACGAAATAGAATCATATATATAGCGTCAAAATCTTTTAAGTGCTTAGAGCGTATGAAAGACTTGATCCGGCCTTGCCGCTATGTAAGGCTTTTCAGAAGGCCGTTTGGTTGCAGACCATGTGCCACATGTGACCACGAAGAGGAAAAACGACTTTATGACCATTCTAGTACTCGCATGATCCCTTAACCATTTTCCATTCTTGTGTTACTCCGACCTAACACCGATGTCTCTGAGTTTATGTAAAATATGCGGTCTGCCGGAATAATTACCGTGTATTAAGTAGCTTGAAGAGGAAGTCATAAAACTGTGTGAGGTACCCCGGTTGATCGTGCCGTGTTGCCTCTAGAGTTGGCCACATATAATACGCTTTCGTCAAAGGCAATGAACATACCAAACGTATGCAACGACTATCGGTAATTAAACAACTTTTATTCCTTTCATTTTCACTTGCAGGTTTTTCTTTGTTGATTGATTTATGTTGTTTTCTCTATATCATCTTTTATTTAGAACAAGCATTTCTATTACTCTTTACTCTACATACGTCGCTGCGGTTCTAGCGTAGAAAAGGCTGCCCTTTGATTTGGCGCCAAATACCGAGGCTGGTACCGGTTTTCTGATAACCTAGAATCAACTCTATTTCCCTAATGCTATGACAGCCATTTTTTTTTTTTTTTTTTTTTTTTTTTTTGTTATGTCCAAATTTTTTTTTTTTTTTTTTAGTTTAATCTGATTAGACCTTTAATTTAGTGATAAATGATTTGTAGCTTTCTGGGAACTTCACCATATTGTCTCATTCTCATGAGTGCGAAATACCAAAAAATCTACATCAAATTTTCAATTACATAATCGTTAAACTCTTACATTACAAATGGGACTGTTATATCCACATTTTTGATTTTTCAGTTTTATACTGAAGTTTAATAAATTTATCTGATTAAATGGAGACAATAACTTTCTGCCTTACAATGTAATGAGGCTTGAAGAAATTGCCTTCAAACTGACCGCTTCGCGACTAAATGAAAGCATATAGCTCCTCTTATTAAAGTGGACACTTAGGTAAGGATTCTGTAAAATTACATACATAATTAATTACTTCACATTTATTTCAGAACTAGATACAACATAAATTACCAAAATCCTTTAGATAAACATTTTCCAAATTTGTTGCAAACTTAGCTTATGTAAAATTCGTACCACTTAAAATTAGAAAAACAAATAAATAATTTAAGGAAAATTGCATAAATCTCAGCAATTGCTTTCTTCCGCAACCATTAGAAACCTGGTGTCATTCAATGGTAATTTCATTTGCAACAGCGGTTTAAAGGATATCAGACGTTTTCTCATTATCTCTCAGAAATGCAGATGATGCATTATTGTTGTCGTACTCCACCACAATTTAGATAAGTTGGTCATTCGCATTTTTTGGCTGGTTAAAAAATTAACACATTTTATTTTTGTGCAAGAATAATATGTACCATGAAAATCTCTATGAATAGAGTGAAAAAATTCCCCCCCCCCATTATTTTCGTTATTCTTTCTAATAACGCCCATATTACCAAATTTTCTCATAAACTAATATTAAACTACGAGTATTATCAGAATTAAATCAAAAATGTGTAGGACTAACCTATATTCCTTTTTCTAAATGCTGTGACTACAAATGAGGTATTAAATTCCACAGAATTAATTTTAAAAGGGCTGTAGCGCTTTCAGTAATAATGCTAGTACATATGACCAGCTGCATGCTTTAGATGTCGGCTTCGAGTTTATTTAAGGGTACCTGTAGAATCTTTGAAAAACTGAAGAATGTGAGCTCTTAAAATTTGTCAATATGAAAATCGTCGGGGGGGATTTAGTAGCAGTGAGAATGGAGAGCTGATGCAAGATTGTGATTGTAACTATTAGAACAGTTTATAAATGAAGAGGATAATATATTTTCTAATCTAAGTGGTGGATGTAAAAATAAGTTTATATCCTTACCCCTACATTAATACTCATCTCTAAAGAAAGGTGGATCTACCTTCCTTACTATGGTGAAGTATTATAATATTTTATATGCATATAAAATTAACCATTTTATATGCACATTTTCTTTTCTTTTTCGCAGCAAATAAATTTTCTCATTGTGACCTTCGACTTTAACTTTCTCATATGTACTCGTTTAACATCTAGTAAGTTCTTACAATAAATTCAAATTATAGTCTCATAAAGTAATATAATCCTTTTAAATAACCTTAAAATTATTACTTACAGAATCCCATTCAAAGGAGCTGAAGTTTGTGTGTATGCTTGGATCTACAAAAACTACAGACTCATTGAATTGCCTTGGGATTCCCCATGGATGTGGATTGTTTGTTGGTTCCTTTTCGATTTCGGCTTTTACTGGATGCACAGAATAACGCATCGTAAGCCTTTCCTACACTTTATATGCATGCTAATTTCTGTTTTATTTAATTCTTATTCTAACACTGTACACTTTGAGCTTATTTTTACATGAAGTATAGGGTGAAATTTGAAACCTTAAATGATGTTGTTCCTTGCGTCGGATTCATAGTGGATTGAATGGACACAGAACCAATGATAGCTTTATAAAACCGATCACTTGACAATTCTGGAACTTACCACAAAAATACTCGCACAGCTCTGCTCAGTATCACAGAGTACAATTAGTAGTTACACTTCAAAATACTAAAATGTTAAACACAGCGCAATGTAGAGGACATCTAAAAAGGCGAAGTTCCTACAGAGATCTCTCAATACTCCGAACTCACGCTGAACTAAACAGCTGAGAGTTGATGCTTTCTCCGGGCTTATATGGTTTTCCCCTAGCCACCAAAAATCATCTAGCAGCTTCCATATCTCAAAATTACTGGAAGGCATATACGGTTAAAGTTACATATAAGGGCCGGATGCAATTAGAATTAGATAAAGGGATCAACTACAGTTATTTAGTTATAGTGTCAATTAGTTAAACAGGGACCGAACCGAAACGTCGCCAGGTCAACTCTTGTCGGTCACTAATTTGGTCAACTCTTGTTGATTTCTCGCTGAATTTTGCGGGAAAAATTAGTCACAAAAGTGACGTCAGCTAGTAGATATCTCGCCGGTTTACCGAGACAGCCATTTACACTCATGTCCATAAATTAAGGATAATGTAAAATCAAGCAAAGGAAGAGTTAGAAGCAAAACAAATTTGACTTATTTGTAAAGCTTATTTATTAAGCAAAAGGTAAAGAGCAAAAAAGATGCTATATGTTACAAAAAAGCAATGTAGCAAATTACAAAAAAAAAAAAAAAATTACAAAAAACCAATATTACATGGTTGGTATGATTGTTAATACATTGTATGTCTCCCAGACGATGCAATACAGTCCGTACAACGCCTAGGTATGCTGAGTATCAAATTATCGATCTGATCTTGGGGGATATTACACCACTCAAAAAGCAATGCTCTCCGAAGTTCCGGTAGACATGTAGGAGGAAGTTGACGGGCTGCAACTCGTCCGCCAAGCATGTCCCACACGTGCTCTACTGGATTTAAGTCCGGTGAGAATGCTGGCCAGTCCATACGGGTGATATCCTCCGATTGAAGGCATTCGCTTACGATGTTTGCACGGTGAGGACGGGCGTTGTCATCCATAAACACAAATTGTGCGCCCATGGCGCCCCGAAACAAACATACATGTTGTTCCAGAATGACGTCCCGATAGATTTGGCTTGTCATGGTTCCAATTTGAACATGCAGGTCAGTTCTGGAACCCAGAGTAATTCCACCCCAATCGAGCACTCCTGCACCACCGTAACGGTGTCGTTCAATGATGTTTTCTTGGTGGTAAACGGGTACCTGGAGCTCTCCATATGAAAGTCCGGCGAGAATCAGACTGCAAGCTAAACCTGGACTCGTCGGAAAACATCACACAAGCACACTGTTGCGGTGTTCACAATATATGCTCTCTACTCCATGCTAACCGCAGGCAACAGTGAGTTGCAGTAAGTGGAACGCATCTGACAGGTCTACAAGCTTAAGACCAATGTGTCTAAGCGTCTGTACACGGTCTGCCTGGAAATTGTCGTACCAATGGCTGAAGAGAGCTGACGAGACAGGTTTGAGGCTGTGCTCCGCCTGTTTCTTTTGGCAGTAACTGCCAAATACCGGTCCTCATTTGGCGTTGTAACTCTGGGGTGACCTGTGCTTTAACGTCTACTCACATTACCATCATCTTGGAATCGTTGCCAAAGCTTGGAGATGACACTCTGGGCAATTCCAAGTTCGTCTGATACTTCCAGTTGGGAACGCGCACATTCCAGACGGCCGATAATTCTAACACGTAAAAAATTATCCAAATGCGTCCTTTGTGTCATAACTATTCGGTTATTGCACTGAAATGCTTATAAAGCGCCTGGGAACAATTTTACTTCTTTGCCTGTATTCCTTATATATCACTCTCTTACACTCTCGTCATTGTGAAGTACCATCGGTGTCATCAGGCTACTTCCTGAAATTTGCATATGATTCTTGAAAATGTGTGTAGTGATTTTACAGGTGATATATTTATTTTAGAGTTCGATTTCCGCGTGACTCCGAATTATCCTTAATTTATGGACATGTGTGTAATTCAATGTTAAGTGAAGTTGCTCCTGTAATCTTACTTTTCTGGTACAGCTTCTACTTTTCGGATTTTTATGTTTCATTATACGAAAGGTATTACAGTTTTAAATATAACTTCACTAAAATTATTTACATATATGCAAAAATTGAAAACAATATAGCTTATATATGTGGGTTTCAAAAATTAGAAACAATATAGTTTATATATGTGGGTTTTAATTAAACTGTAATTTAAACAACATAAATTACAAAAGACATCTGTTAATATTAAAGAATCTTTCTTTGATTTTCATTAATTTTATTTATTTATTTATTTATTTTTTTAATTAAAGAAAAAGAAATCCTCGCGCACCACAAAGTATCACACGAGACTTACAAATCATTAATTTTTTTTTTACTACAAGAATTCTCTGCTCTTCTGCAGAGAAATTAATAAAGCATTTGTTAGCAATAAATAAATAATGAAGCTTGTTATGCCCGTAAACATTATTATTGTTATTATTATTTTAGTTTTATGAGTTAGGAAAACAAGCTAAGTTTAATTTAATTTTCCCTTTTTTACCAAAACGGAATCCTTGCATTGGAATCATTGGATCTTTAAATCCATATATATATATATGTGTGTGTGTGTGTGTGTGTGTAATGTGATGATTTGGCAAAAGCCGTAATGGGTTAGAGATGGTTTGTTGGATTCTAATAACTTAAAGATTCTTTATTGCATAAATAAAAGCACGATGCTTGAAGACGGATGTAGCCATAATTCACAACAAAATTTTTATTTCTTGACATACTTGCAATAAATATTCTCATTCAGGCATTATTATGGCTGCAATATGCATCCCAGAATTTTACGTAGCTTATTGCATCTTTAGACAGTGGACGAAGCAGAGGGATGAGAGGCGCATATTGGCAGCAGCAAGGCGAAGCGGAAAAAAGGGCAGAAAAGCGAGTGCGCATTCGGAAAAATGTTGTAGTCAATAGATTCTTAAATTTGACTGGTGAAAAAAAAAAATAAGCAATGCTATGCTTGCATATGATAGCGTGATGGAAATTAATTTTGAAAGAAGCATTCCATTAAGTTATTATCAACAATTTCTACTGTTGGAATAGAAAAAAGAGATACACAAATTAAAATGAAGAATTACGGGGCTATTGCTACTTTAAATTACAATTTTTAATATACAATGCTTTAGAAGCTGATGGCGTGAAATATATTCATGGCCGATTGAACACATTTAATTTCTGAACGAAACAATTCTTGAGAAGCACATTCTTAACTTGAATTACACAGGGTGAAGGAAGCCTTCATTCTTGATAATATTTGTCGCTTCTTACATCGTTATGTAAATACAATTAATGAAAGAGAAATAAGCAACCATATATTTAGTAAGCGAGAGTAGGTTCAAACTGCTAATGAAAGTAGGTTCATCTGATTCAAAATGATTCAGTTTAGCTTTATTTTGATTAGTTAATATTATGTTTTAATTCCCAGATTGGAAATTATTATTAGCTGAAGTTCTACGAAGTGCCTCCTTCATTACGATATGAAAGAATCGCATGACATGGATTAATTTTGAAATGACTCAGTTGGAAGAGATTTACATTAAGCAGTTACTGGTTTCAGAATAGAAAATGTAAATAACGAAATTAAAGCAGAGAGGACTATTGAAAATTAAAGTTATACTTTTTATTTATGTATTTTTAATCTTAAAACGCGCGCGTCCACAGATGCATACACCTACACACGCATGTATACATAAAATGCACTCTATAACATGAAAAGCGACGCACCAAGAAGGAGTTATCTGAATGAGATTAAATTACTTATGCCCAATATCTTACGGCACGAAACGATTAACTTTTGGCAAATCATTTAATTTTAAATAAGCAAATGATTAACATTTGGCGGCCACTGACTGACTATGTTATGTTATGTTATGTAGAAATGAGGGGGCCATCTAATATTTACCGTAAGTAAGCAGGTATTAGCCCCACACACTAACTAGAAAACTAACAACATTCTGGCATCATTCCTCGAGTCGTGATAAAAAATGTGACTCCAGTGAACACTATAAGTACTGCCACCGGCGGCGGCATCAACGATACTCCTACCTTTCAGCGTGAAATTAGATCATGTAAAAGAGATTGAATTACATGATATACATTGCGAAATACATAGTTGTGCACATGGAGGTAGGAAGTAAGATGGAGTAGCCCTAAACAAGTTTCTCCCGTAACCCTGCTCTGAAGCACCGGCGATCCCTACGTGGTGACCAAAACATTGGGTCATTTACCATTGAGTTCAATGGGATCTGACGCGTTCGGATGTAAATATTTTTTAATTACGTCGTAAATATACATATAAATATATATATAAATGTATATATTTTCTTTTTCTACAACACTTCAGAGTCCTAACTATATGAAAACAACATATTTTTAAACAACATTTCATTCTGAACGGAATTAAATGCTATACTTTTCACAGGACAGTTTTCTCAGAATGGTTTAGTTTGAATGATATATTTTCACAAGTTTTTGGTTAATTACATTAGAAAAAAAAATTAAGGTAATTCGATTTTATTCGGTTAAGGTACAAAAATTCAGATTAAAGTTTATTGTATTATTAATATTAAAATTATGCATTATTTCTTTTCTATTTATAGAGCTTCTTCCTAAAATACTTTCTTAAATATGACATGATTTTTTGGCTTCTTTTAAATCGAAAAATGTAAGTCAATTTATAATTAATGCTCTATTCGGTTCATTTTAAATTAGAGAATTATTAGGAATTAGCGAAATACTTTAAATAGTACTTGACTTTCTCTGAACATTTCTGAAAGGGAATAAAATAAGTTTTTTTTTTAGTATTATTTAAAACTTGTAACTGAGTTATTATAAAATGTAAGGGGAATAATTCTTTTAATTATAATTATCAGTTTTTTTTTACCCTTCATTTCAAGAATACATATTCCAAAACTCTTTATTACGTTCTTAAGTGCGCATCTCATAGCATTTGCTTTACAATACCTTTTAACAGATTGCTTTCCAATACGAACAATTCTTGCTTAAATAGTTTTATAACGTATTTGTCAACAGGATTTCAATTTATGTTTACAATTCAATATTAAGGTTATTATATATGTAGATAACATTTATAATCATTATAAATTAGATACATTTAATAATTAGATTTCTTTACAGTACTTTCACAGTTGTTTATAAGTGAATAAATTCTTCATTTCAAATACATTTATAAAATAATTTAATGAATATTTATGTATTTTGTCAAAGGCAGATACAGGCTTTTTGCAATAATATGCAACAATAATATATGGATGTGAAAAAAATTTGTTTTATTTAAAAACATTTTGGCGTTTGGAAAATAAAATAAAAGTAGCGAATACTCTATCAAGGTTATCGAAAGACGTATACAATTTTAAATGTACCGTAAGGTATTTTTCATTCTTTAAGCAAAACATTTTTCTTAAAATCTATATTTTTGTAGTTCAACAGCTTAGAATTTTATAAAACAAATTCATAATCAAAATCGCTGTTGTTAGTATCGAAAAATAACCAAGATGTGATTTTTGCCTAAATGTCACTAAACTATACAAATTGCTATTATCCATCACACTATGAATATTTCTTTCATGCGAAAGTGTCCCTTTTTCGACTTGTATGGAACTGTCGTGTGTCGAAACACTATCATAACCGTGCCAAGCGAGCTTCTGAATGTAAACAAAGAACACCCCATCTGGTCACCCAAGCTTCAAAGTAGTGCTTCACTTCTAGTGCCGATTGTCCCCTCCTTCCTTTCCTACCTCCATGGTTGTGCAGGTGCATACTTTGAAGATGTTATCGATTGTAGTGGGTACAGGCAACATGTTTCAGGACATTATATATTGCATTAGAAACAGGCGAGATGTTCCCACGTTACAAATCATGTTTGTAAACATGATCTGTTTACTATCAGAATTAATTAAGAACTATAAAATTGTTTACAATTAAGTACTGTTGCATACATTTAAGCTTACATTTAAGTACTGTTGTAAAGTTGTGATGAAATTTTAATAGCTCAATTTTGACGATTCATTATGTGCTGTAACGTATGTTTTTGTGTTAATTGATTTTCAGAAATTTACATTATTATCTAGCAGTACATTGTTATTTGTATGTAAAAATTGATCATGACATTATAAATTGAGGTGGCTAGAAGCAGCTTATTTCTAGTATATAGATCATGCCTACAATCATGACTTGTTTACATTTTTTTTTTTTTACAAACAGCTGTCAAAAATAGAAAATATAAAATAATAAAAATGGCATAAATAAATAAGTCTGAAAACAAAAATAAAAAATAGCTTCATCTGCATACTTATGCGTACTACGTACTTTTAGATATATCTGCACACATTTGCTGATACATTGCCAACTTATTTTTGTCAGTTCATTGTATGCAATTACGTGTGTTTTTACAATAATTAGTTTACATGAATTACGTACTATGATACATTACATTGTTGATACTTTACAAATTGAATGCTAGTTATTTATTATATGTGTTCACTTATCAGGTAATGTGACCTTATGTTACATAGAAATGTGCTGGTGATCCAGCGCATTGTCGCAGAGCATACTGTGTAGAGACATTGTGTTATTTCGAAGCAGGAGAGATGAAAAATGAGCAACGTCTTTGCCAGGACTCGAACCAGTGGCCTCTCGAATACGCGCCGCGGGTGCCGACCACTACACTACGAAGGCATGCTAAGAAGGCGGGAGAAATACCTTATATACTACCTCTTTTAAAGTGCAACTGGGGATTAGGGGATCTAATCGCGAAATCCTGACGGTGGAGAATCATCATTGACCATCCTTTTAGTTCGGGCGCCACTGTAGAGGCATTAGGTATTTTCGAAACAAACGCGGGAGAAATATCTTATAACAGATGGTGGATAATACAGAGGTCATCCTAGTGCTAAGGCATAACTTCCATGCGAATGTGGTTCCATAGATCCACGTGAAATGTAACAATGCCTTTCAAACGGGTTCGCGAGCAGTATGAGCAAATATCACCATTTGAAAGAAGACGTGCAATTAATTGGACTAAGGGAAACAGTGTGGTCAGATCGCAGGATCGCTAGACATTTGGGTTGGAACGATGCTATCATTTGACGATGTTGGCAGGAATGAGTGAATCATGGGCAGGAATGGGTAAAAGCTTCAAGAAGGTAGCGGTTGACCAAGAGAGATACCAGAACGCGAGGGCAGAGAGTGTCCGATTGGTGGTCACAGCCCCTCACCATTGCAGTCCGCCAGAGGAACGTTTGCAGTGGTGCTGGGCGCATTCAGTATGGGATTTCAAGGACTGGAATACAAATACTTTACGCAATGAGTCTCGCTTCAACCTGAACCCGATTATAAGCGAAGACCTCTCTAGAGATGTCCAGGACAGGAGTGAAGAAAGAAATAATTGTTTAAGAGTTAATAATATTTACAAATGAGGCTATTTTTATAAATGAGGCATTTAAAATCGCCATGAGATATTGGTAAGCCAGGTGTAACTGAAATTGTACCAATTGTATTCTTGTTTTAAGAAACGCATTTACTAGACTTTAGTAAAATTAATTTTAACGAAGTTCAGTAAAATTAGCCTTATCGAAATTTTAGTTAACACATTTAAGAGTGTTTTAAGTTATTAATTGAAAGTTTCGAATAAAAAATACACGAAGATTCGAGTTTTAGAATTTTTTTTCAAGATTCATGCAACTCATGGAAGTGAATGTCCCATCCTTAGATTTTGTTTAAACTAGACGTCAGATCTTTACAAAGATAGATGGTTGCTGAATGACTTTCTAAGCTAATATCATGTGCCCATTATAGAGCAGTACCAAATAACATTGCGCTTATTTTCTTCTACAGTTCACTCTCAGAATGACTAATTATCTTGTTAGGACCAATATAAATTTCGATGTTGAAAATTACCGTAAGTTTACTATCAGAAGTTGTTTTTAAACAATTATTAACAAAATTAAGAGAAACTGCAAAACTTTGAAAGACTTTTAACACGGGAATGATAAGGAACGCAAAAGATAGATTTCATTAGGTTGTTCTTGATGATACCCGCAAAATAAAAATGCTGTAAATTCTAAAACACTAAATGTATTTTGAAATGATCGATCTTTATTGTTTTATAGAAAGCAATATTCTATGGGCTATTCATGAGACCCATCATACGCCAGAAGATATGATGTTCACATCTCCCATGAGGAATCATATATTTCTTTTGCCTATACACTGGGTAAGTATGGTAAGTATGAGATACGAACCCTATATTTAATTGATTATTTTTGCGCCAATAAATTTTAAGCATGCTCTTTTTTCATTATAAATGTAAGATAGAAGATATACTGCAGTTATTAGATGATAGTCAAATTGAAAGGGAATGCTCGAAAGTATAAAAAGAGTGAGATATTTGTCGAGAAAAGTTGTTATGTTCAATTAGATAATCAGGTATATGGCGATCTTGCACTTAAAGCATAGAAAGAGTTTCATGTTATAAAATATACTGACAAAACAGCAGCAAGCTGAATCAAAGCATAAGGTATAAACAACAACGAATCACATTGGATACATTCTGAATAAAACGGAGCTCAGAGAGTTTCGAGCAAAGCTGAATAGCAGAGCTGAAATATAGCTGAAAGGAAGTTTCCTGATGTTTTTAAGAAAGGAGAATTCTCATCAAACAATAACATCACTTTCCATTACGCCATTACATTATCCTCCATTCCATTATCCTTCATTCTCCTTTGTACAGGTACGGTGGAATTAAAAATTAAGTGCTCGTCTATTTTATCTATTTAATATTGTGTTTATTTTTACTCTTTTTCCTATATTTAATGAGTTCCATTATTTTTGTTTAATGAATTTGTGCCGAAAATACTGCTGTAATTTTTAACGTATTTTATATTAATTCCTGTGGGAAAAAAAGAGTTTCGGTTTACGAACATTCGGGTAGCGAACAAACAAGTTCCAGGAATGAATAAATTCGTGAACCGAGGTTCCACTGTACTGTTGATGGGATAAATTTTGATATACTATCAATCTTAATCTAATCAGGAAAATAATAAATAAGCTATTCAGTTAAACTTATTGCTCATAATAACTAATTAGTATATCAACTCAGTGGCCGACAACATGAGCCCAGTACTATAGTCATGATGCTCTTGAAGATATCTGTCGGTTTTAAACATTTTTTATTATGAAACTGAGCTAGCTAGTCATCTAAATTAATAAATAAGGTTAAGAAATCTAAATGGAATATAAAATATGTTGACCACTTTATATAATTTTTTTTAATTCTGCTCTTGTATAAAATTTTCAGTTGATGCGGAACAATTTTGTCTCCTTATATCTAAACGAAAATAAGATTTTTTGAAAAATAATTGTTTAACTTCATACAGTTACTAATTTAAATTCAAAAATTAATTAACTGCAATAAATCAACATAATTAACTACAATAATTAATTGCAATAAATATCATAAAATACAATAGAAATTAATTCAAATTTCTTGTATAAACGTAATAAAATCCAATAATAAATGAACTAATTAATATTATTTATAATTAATTAATTAGTATATTTTAAAAACGTGATTTTTTAAATTAAAATTTATTCATTTTTATTAAAAATATGTTATACCATTTTTTTATTATTTTATTGCTCAAAGCGTTAAAATGCTCTTTACAGATGGCATATGCCATCTAAACTTTGATAATACTCTTCCCCTAACAAATGTTATTTTGCAACTGAAGCATATACTGAACTATGTTGAAAAACATTTTAATCTGCAAAATGTGTATCTCAGTGATATGATTTTATATCATTGCATAGTTAGATGAAGTTTAATTGGCTGTAAATTTGAAGTTGAAAATGCCAATAGAAGTAAAGTTACCAATGCTGATTGTTTTTAATGCTCTGTTATTCATTTTTGAAAAAAATTTTTAAAAAAAATCTTAAATTGCTTAAAATTACTTGAAATTGTCCTTTAAATGTTTATGTGCTTTTCACATATCTGAGAAATTTCCTCTCCTTAATGTCCTTTTCTTTAATGCAGGAAATACATACCTACCTTTTTTAATTTATAAATTACTTCTACATTTAAAATTCTAAATCGATATTTGTAATTTGGTGAGCGAAGTGCTTAAAATTTCCGACTTCAAACCGACGTTAAGCAAAGACCAAAATTCCTCGATTATTTATAAACTTCAGTATCTATACAGTTACGTCTCCATTTTTCAACAAGAAGTAATGAAGATTAATGAAGATTTCAAAACCATCTGACTGTTACAACTAAAATATAGTTATAATAAGACAAATTTTGAAGGCATTTAACATGTTGCATATGAGTGAGATGATGATTTATCTTACCAGCTGACGTATCTGCCAATGGCTCTCGCCATTCCACCCACAACCTACCTTGTTCACTACCAGATCAGCATTATTTACCAATATTGGCTGCATACAGAGGTAAGTAAATTAATTAGGTTCCAAAGTTCTCATTCATACTAATTTGCAGATTCCTTAATGCAATAATAATATTTACAGGTTATTGGCAAACTGCCGTCTATTGTTGAATTCTTTCTCAGCACACCCAGCCATCATCGAGTTCATCATGGTATGTATGGCTGAAACATTTTAGTATTCTATAGAAAACTTTATTTAAGAAATGTGATAAACCGTTTGATCGCTTTAACATCTTTTGTGCATTGCTGGAGAAAGGAAAAGGATAAAGATCATAAAATAAGACAAAAATACATTCCACAGCTAGCTAACTAGTCAGGAAATTTAAGGCTTAGATATATTTGTGTCTCGTTGCACATAAATTGCTACTAATCCGTTGTTATCAAAGTCGGTTTATTAAAGTTATTCGGCTATGTTTTACTCCCTGCTTGTTTTTTGCGCATTAAGTTTTGCTCTCTTTATTTATGGCGATATGCATTACTCGTGACATCTCAAGGGATTCTAGTCCCTGTGAACAGGTATTAAGCATAAATATTTAATAGCACAAATATTTTCATGGTTTTCTCCACGTATGGAGCATGCGGAAAAGTTCTATCTGTTTAATACATGGAAACTGCGATTGGATAACTTTTGCCTCAATCTGACAGCATTTGACTCTGAATGACTCGAATTTTTTATCAACGAAATGTAAGACAATACAGCATACAAAGGTGTTGAGTTTATCGGAGAAACTCATACGTTAAATGGTTTAAAATAGCAGGTCCAGAGGAGCATCGCATCACTTATCAAAGCTTTGGAGATACTTCAGTTAACGATAGCACATGTCGTTTCTGAGTACAGAAATTGTGATTTGGAGACAGATGGCATTCTGATCAGTCACGTTCTGAACATCCATCAGTGGCTTCATATAGAGTTCTACATGATCGCATTTAAAATGAAAAGTATCCAATAGTTCACACACTAGTAGAAACACGTTGTTACACAGAACAGCAGTCGAAATACGGATGCAGGCATCTGGGGTATTTATTGTGAAGTTCCATCAGTGGGGGTTCCTTGCTAGCCTCCTGAGAAGAAACGAGAAAACAGTTTTTACCAGTGTTTCTTTGTTTCTTTGTTTCCTCGTTGTAGAAATAAACAAGTTTAGGAATGAATTGCAACGGAAGATGAGCAATATGTATTAGACAGTAATACTGAAGGATTATGTACCGAACTGCAAAATTGTGCCATCAACCTCAAAAGGAGGACTGCATTCTAGAAAGATTTAAGTATATGGGAGGATATCAAAAATATAATCTACTAGGATGCAACAATACTATAAATGTAGATCTCTGTTTCTTGGCTAGACTGAGGAAATAACTAACCTATAAGCGGATACAATTCATCAATAGCAATAACATTACCTTTCATCGTGATAACGCCAGACTTTATACTGCTTTAATCACTCGGGAAAAATTACTGGACGTTAGTTGGGACATGTTAACTTACCCACGTAGCTCTAATCTTGCCTGAACAGGCTGCCATATCATTCGATCGTTACAAGGCATCTTCACTTCCCACCAAATTTTCAAATATGTAGAGAATGTGAAAAGAATGTCATGAGGCCTTCTTGATGCGTAAAAGCTCTTGAGCTTATTTTTTTACAAAAACAAAAGTCTCAAAAGGGGTTATTAATTTTGAAACGGAATTTTAAGGCGTATCACTATAATGATGGTTCACTTTAGATGGTTGATTCACTTTTCAAATTGTTTCAACCAAATCTTATCGAAGCATCTGCATGTATGTGTGTATGTGCCTTACACTGTGAAAAAAACCATGGTAATTCAAGCCGTCAAATTTTCAATAACCTTGTCCTCCACCCGAATATGTGTACCTAAAAGCCCGAATTTTGAATTTCAAATTTGTTTTAAGATTTATCTCATATTTTGTAAAACTTTGATTAATTCTTAATTAACGAACTTTATAACTTGAAAGTAAGCCCAGCTTGTTAATTAATTTGAAATTGGTAATAATTTGAATTTTTTAAATTTCTGGTAATAATTTTACTATACATTTTCTTATTAAATGGAAATTAATAACCTTATAATTTTGTCCTCAAATTGCACCTGCATCTTGCTGCATATCAGATATACGCTGTCAAGTGATAATACATCTGCGGCACTATCATCATGTAATAATGTGTCTGCGCTTTCTCTTCTCGATAGACAATTCTTTTTTCACGATATTTTGTACGATGATATTTTAAATTGCGAAGTTTTGCGCCGTTTTGTTTTCTACCTCGATGTTTTGTACCACATTGTTTTAGGACTGCGATGTTTCCTCACCGCGTTTTTTTTTCATTATGTTTTATATGATGATGTTTTCCTCTTATGGTGTGCTGTCCGCGACGTTTTTACTTGTAACTGCTTTGAGAACAGAGTACTTCTTAAGTTTGAATTTAGATCATGGTAGAGCCATAAGCAGAAATAAGTGAGATTTGTTAGAACTTATTGATTTATTAGTATTTTTCAATGCAAGAATCTGATTGCTGTAAGTTTTCTTTGCTTTAGGTTTAGACTCTGCAAGAGCTCATTCACTTAGAATTTAGGCTGGATTTTATAAACTTTTAAGGGAAAAATATGTTTTTCCCCCATGAAACTGTAGCAATATGTTCTAATCGAGCTTCAATTACAGACATCTTTCTCCTCAATATTTAAACCGGAAAAACTAATTAGATATAATGATACCAATTAAAAACACGGTATCACATAAATCATAATTTTATTGCCCACGAATCATTTAGCTATTAAGTCAGCTACTTCCTTAAGATTTTGATGTAATATAATTAGTGTGGATCCATTTTGAATAATATAAGTCCAGGAAGAGGTTTTAATCAATATATTGCAATATCTCCTAATGTCAATATTCTTTTTCGTATTGGTCTGGTAGGACGTAACAGGCATTACGTAGACAAGAATTTGGCATTACGTAGACAAGAATTCATAAAGGACTCAATTTTATATTAATAGAGATTTCTGTGGTTCTTTCCAGATATAACGGAAATATGAGGCAGTTTTCTTCAAAATCCTAGTTTCACTTAAAGAGAAATCGCTTTCTTAGGGTCTTACGTGTACTTTCTCAATAACTGCCTAATCGAAGCCGTTTTAGTGCTCGTAATATTGAGTGATTTAAAAAACTGTGTGATCTTATACATAAATTCTTAGATATTTTTAAAATTTTCATCAAAGTTTTATTTGCGACGAAATAGATTTAAAATATCCAGAATTCTGTGAAAGTATACATTTTTAAATATAAAACCGACAAAATAGCGAAACAGCTATTCGGTCCGAGGTCCGAATCCCGTGACCGGGCTGGCTGCATGGGTGTTTTCGTGGTTTTCCCCATGTGTAACGCGTATACGAGCCAGTTTTCCTTAGAAAGTCCTCCACGAAGGCATCTCTCCCCTTAGGCAGATAGCCCTAGTGTGCTTTCCCATGATTAAATACACCACACCAAATTTGTTTTCTAATATGCTATTTTTTCTTCATTTTAAGACTTCCTCGTTTTGATATAAACAGTATCAAAATATTTTGAATAATAAAATAATTTATCCAAAACGTGCTAATCAGTAACTCGCATAATAATTCAGGTACTCGGAAAATTTTACTGAGATATTTTGGAAGACGGCTTTCTTTGTCATAATTATTTGTTACAAATGAAAATACATTATAAGGATCATCGTCAGCATTTGGTAATTGTTATTTATTTTTAACAAAATATATTTGCAGTTCCACGTCTGAAGTGAAATGGCAAGACGCTATAAATTAACGGCAAATTCCGTTAGAAATTAAACATATTTTCCGTTTAAGTTCATTTTAAAAACGGCAAAAGTGTTCAAGATATCAAAAGCCTCTTAGGGTAAAGCGTTTAATAATTTCTGATATTATTAAAGATCTGGAAAATACACTAAAATGTGGAATATTCTGGAATTTTCAAAATACACTTAAATGTGGAATGCATTTCAAAATAACACTAAATCGGAGATTTACATTAAGAAAAGTCGAACAAACCAGAAAAATTAGTGCTGTAAAAATTTCATGGACGTAAAAGAACAGTGAAAAGAGTTATTATGGTAAATCGATACAGCGGGTGATCGGCAGGAAGGAAATCCTTTGTCAATTTAATCAATAAACAAGGAAAATATGTCTGGCGCTCTCAAAATCCATGGTATGTTGGAAAACGAGTCAAAATTTAATATATTTGGATGCGATGTCCGAATTATTATGGGAATCCCAATGAAGGCCTGAATACGAAAAAAAGTGTTACACGCTAAGCACAGGAGTTGAGATCTAATGGTTTGGGGATGCTTTGCTGTCCCTGGAATAGGAAATTTTGTTTTCATAAAAGGTAATACGCATCGGTATAAATCTATAAATATTCTTAGTTGAAATCTGAATCATCTACAAGAAAACTTGGAATGTAAAATAATTCACTTTCTATCAGGATAACGATCCTAAACATACAGCTAAAAGGCTGACGAAAGGGTGGTTTAGACGATAATTCATGACCACCAAGATTCTGCCATTGGGTCCCCGCATCCTCAATCACCCTTTAAAAGGCGGAGTATATAAGATTTTCTCCCTCTTTCTCTAGAGAATTCCAGTTCATGCATATTTTATGTGACAGACCTTTAAAGGTTGCATTTCAGTAAGCTTACCAAAGGCCAAGGCGTAACAATTTAAAATTCGGCAGCTATAATGCAAAGGCGAAGAATTATAATCTTAACAGAGATGGTCGAAACCTAATAATGTGGCCTCGAGAGACAGAAATACGCTCTTAGTTTCGGATTGTTGCAATCCGAAAAACCTCACCATAAATACTCTTAGCCTGATCTGTATTCTGGAAGGGAAACAGAAAGGAGAAGTGACAGCAAAGATCTAAATCATAATGACTGGTTAGATTAACATAATGGAACTTTGCAAATTTATTGCTTAATTTGCTAAATATTTTCGTCAAACAAATATAGTATTCTGTAACGGCCGACTCAAGGAAGTGGAACATCAGGACTTTGTTAAAACTAAAAGCAATTATTTTTTTTATCAGTTTCTGCTTTATTTAGAAAAAAAAAATAAGTCATAAATTCTGTATACAGGCTTCTTCTCGTAGTCTTGCCAAACAAGAATATTTATGCAAATATAAAAAGTATGGAAAAATAAATACACGTAAAAAATAAAATTATGAGAAATACTTAGACGTTAAAACAATATCTATTTGCTTGTGCGTTTTCTTTCAGGTTGCATATTCCACATTCTGCAATGTGGTAACTAAAGGTGATTATTAGTATCTCCTACCACCAGAATGTTGTATCTCATCGCTGATCACATAAATTCAAACACTGTTTTAAATAAAATTCTCAAACTGTTCTTTTGATTAAAGACAAAAACCCATCCCTCTTACACAATTATGCGTATTTTCCTTATGCTATTCTTGCTGAAGAAAGGATTAAAATAATTTAATGACACATCACAACAAATAGTCCTAAGAATAAATTTAAATATTTTATAGACTCGTCCCTTCTTTACAATATGGAAAAAGTTCTGGGAATATGAAGGTATCAACAATAAGCTATCTGTAATATTCAAAGGTCCAGGTTGGTCACCTGGAAAGCCATGGTGTGGTGATATAGAAGAAATACCTGAGGTAAGAACGCTAAAATATTTTCCATTGGAAATTCTGAATTTTATAATTTGTACTATTATTATACAGCAAATTTTATTGTCTATTACACTGAGATAAGAATGTGATTTTAAAATGAAATAAAATAAAACCTATTTCAGATTCAAGCATTTTACATTTTTTGAATAAAATATTATTTAAGGGCCCATCTCGACACCAGCGAAAGCTCAAGCAGCAAATTTACGGCGGTTGCGAAGATCTAGAGGCTTTGGTGTAATACAATTTTAGTAGATTAATTCATTGAGTGTAGACTCATGTCTTTTTGAAAAATACGCCAAGTTGTTGTGTTTATGAACTTTAATTTTTGAACATGACGAGAAACCAATAATTTTAGAGCTTCTAAGCACAGTCTCATACAGCAGCAATGTTATAAAGAATTCTAGCATTTCGACATCTTGTTGATGCTTTCACATCGCTAAGAGTAAAATTCCTTTCAAAGGTTTCAACGATTCCATGAATAGTAAACACAGAAGACAGGTTAAGGGGACCATAGCCTTCGCAAAGTGAGCATTGAGGATTCACAAAAGAATGTTTATGCTCATAAATGTTTAACAAACATTCTTGAAGCGAGTATTTAGCCACGATAAATTGTTGCAGCTTACTGAACACAAACAAAAATTAGTGACAGTGAGAAAACTTTAAATATGGTTGACATTTCTTTTTAAAATAATATCATTCTTATTGGGATGCCGTTGATATTCGACTGTGTAAAAGTTTCTGCAATGACAATGCATTTTTATTTAAATCTATTTGTATTTAAAAATTTAGCAAACTTAATTCGTTTTAATATGATTATAGAACATAATTTGTTGTATTAAGATTCATTTTGATTAATTTAGCTAAATTTCGAACCTAATTTAACCCCTTAAGTAGTTGGGTAGTTTCTTTGAAATGCATTTGGTTTATTACTTGAATGACGCCAGGTAACAAAAGAAAAATGTGCATAATATCCTTACTTCATTACTAAATTAAAATCTTGCAAATGAAGTCGTCTGCAGATTTTAGTAGTATTGTGATTTGAAAATGTGTTGTCACTGAAAATATGAGCCCAGAAAGATTTCAGTCTCAAATTTTAATCATATTGTTATGAGTGGAGTGTTAAGTAGTCAAAGATTTAAGTGAAACATTACCGGTACAGCCAAAACTTTTCAGTGTGGCACTGAAACTTTTGGATGCACTTACACAGCAGTGCGCATTAAACAGTGTTTGTTAGTTAACTCGACTACTGAAAACATGCTTTTTGATATAAATGCGTCAGCAAAATGTCTTTCCTCCGTTAATCAAAATGTTAAGCTTGAGATAAAATACAGACTTAAATAAAAATATTAGTCTAAAAAAAGGGAACAGCAAGAGAACTTTGGCCAAGCGACAATCAGTGACATTGGTTGCGTAATAGAATTCGCTTTTATACAGACAAAATGTCACAATATGTATTTGGTAGGGCATTATGAGCTTTCTGTATTTTAACTTCCTGGAAGTAAATCAAACAGTTTATTGGTTTAATAGAATAATGGATATGCTGAGCAGAATACAGTTTTAAATCGTGAATTACTAATATAAGTATCCAAGCCATGTTTGAAAATTGATTATAGTCTGTCTAGTGTTGCCATTTCAGCGAGGAGATTATATCAAACTTGGGCTATTCAAATATTATTCAAATATTCAGGTACGATATTAAAATAATGTGACGCACTAGTTCTTTTCTAAAGCGTTCTGCACATAACTGCAGGGCACCTCATATAGAAAGCACTGAAAAATTTCACTGCCTCAAAGCCTTATTATTCAAAAAAAGAATTAAATCAAAAAATGAACGAAAACATTTGAAAGAGGAAGTAAATATCTCTCTGAGAATTACGAGTAATTTTCAATGAATGTTTTTTTTTAATAACGTTTTTCTTTCCTCATTATTCCCTCCCCTTTTTTTACTGGTTTTTATCGTCCAAAAACCTAGAGGAGAAACTTACATGAATAATTTAATTTTCAAGGTAAGCCTTTACGTGAAGAACAAAACAAATGAAAAGTAGCCGTAGATAAAATATAGGTAACAATTGCAATGTTATTTCTTTCAAAGAAAATTACATTTCAGTAAAATACATAGTAATATTAACCTTATAATATCTAATACTAAATCTTCATTTCTATTTCACTATAACTTGAATCTCGCGCGTTCTTAATGTTGTTTCTGCTACTCCTTAGACCTCAAATCATCCATAAATAATTAAAGAAGATGATTATGGCGTCTGACTTGGCGAAACTGTTAGTGTTTACTTCGCTGTCACAGGTCAGTTCA